TTTTTTTTTTTTTTTTTGGAGGGGGGGCAAGTCAAGATGTGTCTGTGGAGACGATAAACTCGGCGATGCGAATGCGGACGCTTGGCACGCATACACAGCTGCGATAACCACGCACATCCACCCCTGATGTCAAGGCCCAAAACTTGTGAAAATAACAACAAAATAAAATCAACTAAAAGTGATCGCCATTAATAATTGCTGAAACAATTTTATGTTGATATTGTCTGATTGGCTGAAGGAAACCGGGAAGTGTTTGAGTTACCGGAAAGAGGTACGTTCTTGTTCGTTCGGGAGTTGCGGAGCAGACGTTGAAAAATAAAAGCTGAGTTCAAAGGATTCCATCTCTCCTTTTGCTCATTCTTCAAGTACAGCTATCCACTAAAAACCGACGAACCCCTCGACTTACATTATCCTCGAGAACTTAGGAGTCCTTTTCAAATCAAGTGATCAGTTCTTCAAGTGCCTTTTTTTTAAGGCAACCGCCGCCCTCACGGTTGCGGTTTCCTCCTGAAGCCGCGGCCGGGGGTTTTCTCCCACACTGATGATGAGGTGTGTGTAGAAAGCCGCCCGCTCTTTGGAGAGGAGTTCGTAAGTCACAGAGTTGAGGCCGTCCGAGTGCCAGGTCAGTTCGGTTCTGTTCAGGACCTCAAAGCTACAAAGTTCGAATCAGTTTAATATCAAAGGACGACCGCTTTCGCCGCACGTTTCAGGACTGCAAGGCTTGCTTACTTGTATGGATTTTCCTCATTGCCGCGGTCTCGTTGATGCTTGATCATTTTGTAACGACCAATGGCCACTGGGGGGCGCACGACCTTCATGCCAGACAGAGCCACTCTGCTTGAGCAGCAGACAACACGACATAACATCAACAGTCTGGCAAACTTTGGCAACAGCACAAGAATAGTTGCTCCCGCATCAGAGAAAAAAATCGGTGTCATGTTACAACATGACCAGTTATTACCAGTGGGGGGCGGTGCAGAGCATGTTGCTAAACGTTTTCTAAAAACACCTTTCCAGATTCACAGATTGTTCTGTATCGTCTTCCTTCCATGTACTCTCACCCACACGCATCGATACTTAAAATAAAAATAAAAAAAATTCAGATTGAAAACAAGCCAGGAGGATTTTTTTACCTTTTCCACAAATCATCATCCTCTCGGCCCCAGCCCCAGTACTGGTTGGAGAAGCCGTTCATCTTCCTGTACTGGTCCGGAGTCACTGCGACAACACCGCCAAAATATTGCGGGTAGGGCAGCCTAGTAGGGGGGGGGGGGCACACGGCCAACACAACATCTGAGGGCCAAGCCGGCCAACGGGTACAAATAATCACTGACTGAGGCAGGGATGGCAAGCTGGCAGCCTGCGTGTCGCATGTGGCTCGCGTCTGCACTTTGGCTGGTCCCCAAATAATAATTGAAATCAATACATGAAGGATTTTTTTTTTTTTTTAGCAGGGGGTGGAGGGCTGTCCCTTCCCCGCACGCCTTGAAAATGAAGTGCCGTTCACAGGAAAAAGGCTCGCGAGCGCGAGCTGCTGAGCGTCTCATCTAACCTGTACTCAAACTTGTCGATGGCCACGGCCAGGTGCCTGGGGTTGCACGCGTCGCAGGCGTAAGTATTGAGGTCGTTCTCGGCCAGCAGGTCCACATCGTGGATGATGAGGCAGCTCCAGTCTTCGTCTCGGACGACTTCCCGTACGCCGGCGTTCAGCAGTTTGCCTTTGTTGAAGGTGCCGCTCCCCGACTGAAAGACATCACACGAGGCTTCCCGTCAAGTGAGGGTCGCCTTTCTGGCGAGGACGACAAAATGGTTCCGAATTCACCGCCAGCTCTCCTCACCTGCTCCACGACGTAGATCCTGTAGTGGATTTGTTGCCTCTGCAGCAAAGGATGGAGGTGGTCGAGGAGAGCGCGGAGGTGCGTCGGCCGCTTCCGGTACGGCACCACGATGGCGGCGTGGTGCCGAGCGTTGCAGTCCGGCGGACGGTAGAGTCCGCCCGGCGACACCGCCGCGCTCCTCTTTCTGATCTCCTTCAAAGACGGAGGTGACGAGGAGAGATTGACGGGGCTGGGCCCAACTGCGCGTGAGGAAAGGAAACGTTTACCCGTTGGGCAGGCGAGCCGTCACACGAGGACGGTGGATCCCCCAGCCCGCGTTTCCTTCATTGATTTGCATCCTCACCCAGAAGCGGGGACACAAGGTGGCAGGTGGCCAGCGGAAGAGGCGCTGGCGAGAAGGCGGAACGGAGCGCCAAGGTCACGGCGGCCGTCAAGAGCGCCAACCAGGCCAGCGCGCGCGGGGGCTTCAGAAGGCGCTGACGGCATTCCATCAGAAGAGAGTTTGCTAGGAGGGAAGGGGAAGGGGAGGCGGGCGGATTACGCGCGGCGCGAGTGAAGGCGTGCGCAAGGAACAGCGACCAGCATTCACCGGCATGATGAACCACAAACTTCGCGGCCCACATTCAAACACTCTTCGCGAGCACATCCATCCATTTTCAAATCCGCTTCTAGTCACGAGGGTCGCGGGGGTGCCGGGGACTCTCCCAGCTGTCGTCGGGCAGTAGGCGAGGGACACCCTGAACCGGTTGCCAGCCAATCGCAGTCGATGCTAGCACATACACTGTAAATGTTACTTCAATTATATAAACCAGTGGGTGGTCCCTCAACTACGGGTCCAAAGACAGAAACAGGAAAACACACACACACACACACACACGCGTGCACACACACGTACACGCACACACTTGTCTTTTGAGGAGCTAAAACATCCTGATCGTAAATGTTGGTATGTTCTCAGCTTTTTTTTTTTTTGTTGTTGCATTGTTTGTTTGTTGCAAATCAGCAGCTGTGCTTACATAGCAAAACTAGTCAAAACTTGAAGGAGCATTAACTTGACCCCTGCCCCCTCCGACCCCCCAAAAAAAACTAACCAAAAAAAAAAAAATGAGAGCTTGCTCATTTCTTGTCGTCACCATCTTACAAGCAAGATGGTGACGACAAGAAATGATGTTATGAAAGAGCAGCAGTGAGTGCCAAAGCCCCCGACTTAGTGGACAAGTCAGAGTCAAGCCCCGCAAAATAAACAAATCCATACCCGATGACGAGTTCTTGAAAGTGGTCATTTCTTTGGAGCCCGTCTTTGCACCGCCCGTAAAACTTTGACAAGAGCACAAGTTGGCCCTCGGCAAGTGTTCAGGCGAGTCAAGCGCTCACACAGTCAGGTAGGCTGGATGATGACCAGAACGAATTTGACGACGCCTGACTTGGGCGGAGCTTTGGAGTGGGCGGAGCCATCATTCTGTCTGAGATTCTGTCTTCAGAATGTATTGATGGTCAAGGTGTTCCTGTTGCGCATGACAACATGGTTCCTTTCCAAAGAAGGCCAAGCACTGTTTTGAGGAGCGAGACATCACGAGACTTGAGATGAGACCCATCGGTGCTGAGAAATGTTTTTTGGACAATGTTCAGTACGCCACCTCCTCCCTGTGTGTGCTCCTCAACGGAACCACGACAGTCCACTCGTTCTCACGTTAGCCAACACTGTTGATCTTCATTTGGGCATAACTATTTGATTAACTCTTGGATTTGACTGGCTAAATATTTTTTTTTTTTTTTGAAGATGTGGGTGCGTCAAATCCGTTTGTGAGTTGACACACCCAAGTTGAATGCTTGTGAAGTTTTCGAGACGACATTAAAAAAACAGCGGAGTCTCATGTTTTGACATTTGAATACGAGTTTGAATGGGATCGGTGGAAACTGCTCACGGTGGATTCGTTTCTGACAAAGATGTTCTGTACAGTCGGAGTTCGATTGCACTTTGTCCCCACGTGCCGAAGAAAAGGGGACAATTTTGTTCCTCTCCGAGTCAGGGTTACGCCAGACGAGAGAGAAACCGTCCGCACGATGCTAACTGAGCTTGCGCGGCCTCCGGACTTTTCCACCAAGCACTTAAGGTGGATTCAACAATCGCGCTCTTCTCATGGCGCTGAACCAATGGTGGCCTTTGAGACTTGACTCCATCGTCATCTCGGTGCAACCGGTTGATGGGGAAGTCTATTTGACAAGTCAAACAATCGTATTTGACGTTGGGTGCGGCGAGTGCCCCGTCGGCTTTGTTTTTCTTCAGTGTGGATGAACTCATTCTTTTCAAGTCATGTCTTTCAGAGAAGCGATGACCTCCGGCACTTTTACGTGGGTTTGAATGAGCTCGGTGAAAATAGTTCATTGGCGCTCGCATTTTCATTTCTGCCGCAGCTGTCCGCGCCAGAAGAGAATTGGGTGGGCTATTCCCGCATTTTTAAGCCGTCACAAATTTGATCCGGTAGTGCGATGTGGTCAACATCAAGAAAAAACTGTACCTTTTGCATGTCTATTTGATTCCATGCGGGAATAGGGTAGCCCGGGTTGTGATCGGCAGGATTCCACGAGTTCACCGTTATACTATTGTTGATTCTGACCAAATGGGGAGAAATGAGAACGAGTGGAAAAGAAGCAAAATGCACATTAAAACAATAAGATGCAAAAGCCCAGCTCAGCTGGTGTTAAAACCCCATCGCGTAGATAAATCCGCTTTTGTGACTTTTGTGTCCCGCGGGCATTTGGCTATATTTGCCCTGCGATAGGCTGTCCTCTCTCTCTCTCACCCAAAGTCCACTGGGACGGATCCCAGCTCATGCGACTCTAATGAGGACATGAACTTTCTGAAATGGATGGACGCTCTCAATTGTTCCATTTTCTATCACACCAAATCCATTTCACGATTGCGGGAGGTGTCACACTGAAGGTGGGTTGGAACAAAAAAAAAAAACAAAAAAAACGAATTAATCAAGAGTGCAACTGAGAACCAGCCAGTGAGCGGTGTCACCGTGGAGGAAATTTTTTAAAAAACGTGGTGGGAAATGTAGATTGGACCACTGCCCAATTGGACCACTGCACAATTCTTCCCACCAGCTCGACAGCGAGTTAATGACTCCCCAAAAAAAACTGACTTCAATTGCTATTTTGGACTCTTACCCTCTTTAGGTCGTTCGTCGTTAAAACTGAAAAATAATATATGGTATAAGCTAAAATAACTAGCAGATTACACATTGTCTAATACAAATATCAAGTGAGATGGTGTTGACAACAGTCTCAATTCCCAATAAAATATCGTAACTCCCCAAACCCAATCGTCAGCATTATTTTTGCCATAACATGTACTTACGGACAATTCTTGTCCAAGGCAAGAAGAAAATATGATCCTAGTTCAAGAGCGCAATATGCCGGGTCTACGAACTGCCACAGGGGATTTCTGTGGTTTTCTCGAGGTCAGCAAACAATTCTGTACATCAAACAACCACAGGAGGAAGCTCGAAGGCTGCCGAGACATTTGCATGACAAATTCACTTGAAAAACGAGCAGAACGCTCTGAAAAGGCCATTTAGGCCATTTTCAAGGCAAATTACCTTGCAAACCCGATTGAGGGACATCAAAGATTCGTTCACGAAATTAATTCATTCATAACTGTCGCAAGGTACCTTGAAAACGATGATTGCAACCCCCATCTCTTGTAACCCTGATGCTCCGACGTGGTGCGATTTACCAGTTTGACAAAGTCATTTGATCATGTTGGCAGAGGGGCACTACCACGTCGTGTTTCGCGTCAATCTAGCTAGCTCCAAGATTAACAATATGAGAATATAATACTGTACACTGGTTTGATGACAAACGAACAGGACGAAAACTATGGCGTATTGCTATTCATATGCATGCGCGTAAAATGTATTTATTTTGGCCCAGTTAATGAGTTGCAAAATGCCAAATTTTCCCCGATGGAATTAAGTGTAACTAATCCTACCGGAAGTGCATTACTTTGAAAGAACGAAGCAAGCCGGAAGCGTGATTCCTGTCTGCTAACTTCACTGGTGTCCGTCGTCCCGAGTGACGTCACGCGGGCTGCCGCTCGTCTCTCCAGCGCGTTCACGAATGGTCTTCGCACGCGCGCGCGCGACCTAGGTAAGCGCGAGCACGTCTGTTCAATCAATTCTTGTCTTTCGCCCCTTTCTGCTCAATCAATTAGTTGATCAATCGATTGATCGGAGCCAGCTGTCAGAGCTATCTAGTTAGCCAGCTAGCGTTAACCGCAAACGATCCGAAATGGACCTGTATAACGCGCGCTGCTTCGTGACGTCATCCAAATTCTCTCTTTTTTTTATGTTCCAGAAGTCACGTTATCTGACAGTTCGTCTATTTGTCAGGTTTTTGACACGCTGCTAATAGGATGAGTGTCATCTTATGAGTAGAACAGGTGAATTTCCCTTGTAGATGAATACATGATCATCGATACAATCACATTGGAGCAATTTAAAGCACAAGATTGGATGAAATCAGGGGGGCAGATGGGATTTGCGATTTTGCGGTGGACGGGGGTTATAAGTTTATAAAAATCACGAAATAACATTTTTGGGGAAAAAAAGAAAATGCTGACTTGTTCAATATTTGATGGAACCTATATTTGTCTGGAATACCTATCACCCACTAAAACATATTAAACGTGTGTGTGTGTGTGTGTGTGTGTGTGTGTGTGTGAGTGTGTGCGCGCGCGCGCGCACGTGCGTGCATGCATGCGTGCGGTCACTCATGCAGCATCCCTGCCAGTCATGCAGCAAAAGGTTTGTTCTGGAGGTTCCCTTTCTTTCCACGATGGCACCCGCTCGCCGTTCTTCCGCAGCCTGGACACCCGCGCCGCGTGCCCGCACGAGTACGACGGCTTCAGCATCACCGGGAAGTTCCCGGCGTGTCCGCCGCACAAAGCCGGCCTCCCGGCGGCGCGCGGCGTGCGGCGCTCGCTCAGTGACGGCAGGGACGCCGCCCACTTCCTGATCTCCAGGAGGAGGACACGCAGCGTGGGCACGCGCCAGGACGGAGACCAGGACGAGGAGCGTGGCGAGACGGACGAGGAGGACGGGACCTCGGACAAGCCGCCGGATCACCACAGTGGTTTCCATCTGGGCCCGGCGCCGCTGCTCGGTGAGACCATCAAAGACCCATTCGCCCTTTTGTATTACATTCTCTTTGATCGTGTGACATCATCAAAGCCCCCCTTTCCACTTCGCTGCAAGAAAAGCAACAGCAAGAGCTCAAAGGCTCCCGTCTCCAATATTTGGGACAAAGACACCCTTTTGGACTCCACGTGACATCATCAAAGAGCCCCATTGCACAAAGCACGGCCTCCTCCAAGACCCCCTTTCACTTCCGCTTCCACTGCACGCATGATCCAAGACCCCTTACCAAATACTCATTACATCAAAGACTCTGTTGTGCACTGCTCAGGACATCACCAAGGACACATTTTCCACGACCAATGACACTCACTTTTTCCATACGTCAACATATCAAGGACTCTTTTCCACCACACATGACATAAACCAAAGCCATTTTCTATGACTCATTCTTAAAGATGCCTCTCCCACCACCAACTCAGTGATGATCATCATAGACCTCTATTTTACACATCAAAGACATCTTTCCAAATACTCAAGAAATCATGAGAAACCATTTCCTACTGCCCACAACATCAAAGACCTCCCGAATTTCAAGACTGTGAGGCTTCATTTGCCACCGCATGTTTGACCTCAAAGCCCCATCTTTCGTGACATCAAAGACTCCTCCCACTCGACATGACATTGAAGACATCTCTACATGCACCGTCTCATACCTCTTTCTCCTGGCCCCCCTTTCCTCGCAGGGCATCACTGTTGTTCCGACCCGGATGGCGCCTGGTCCTTGTCAGCGGCGGGGCACGGAGGCTTGGGCGGCATTGGCGGCGACGTTGGCAGCGGCGATGGCTGCAGCGTCCTGCAGCAGCGGCTGGCTCGCGTCAGGACGGAGCTAGCGCAGGCCGACACGCGGCTGCTGTGCGAGCGTGCCCACTCGCAGCATTTGTCCCGCGAGAGGCAAGAAGTGGCAGAGAAGGAGCGGTCGCTGAGCCGGCAGGTGGACGTGGCCGTCATGGTGATCGCCGCCCTCAAGGAGCAGATCAACGCCTCGGAAAGCGAGCTGGAGCGACGTGAAAGGTGAAAACAAAAAAAAACCATTAAGTCGTCACCAATTGTCAGTATTATGATCATTTTTTTTCAATTGTTTCATCAAATAAATACCAAACTATACAATTTTGTTCACTGTATCTGTAAAATCTCATTTTTGTGCTGCTCGTTCTCGCAGGCAGGTGCTGAGCATCCAGAAGTTTTTGGAAATGGCCGCGCGCCAGGAGACCAGCGGCAAGGTCCGAATCCAGTTGTTCATCGAGAACCTGCTGAGACGCATCGCGCTGGCCGAGACCCTCCTGGAGGACTACCAGGTCCTCAAGGCCCTAACGCGCGTCGTCGCACACCTTCCGGTCTGCCTTACGAGTCTCACGAGCGTCTTGTCTTCGCAGGGACGGCAGACGCCGGCGACCGACCGCGACAAACCTCTCAGGATCACCAAGAGCAGGTCACCACACCGGCGCACAATCGAAAATAGACTTCACCACTTCACCGCTTTTTGCAGCACCCGCCGCCGACGCCAAGTGAACACTAGCAGCACGCGAGCTGAAGGACATGCTTATATCATGCATTGTGGAAATGTTTATATCAGAGCAGTGCCCAAGCGCGTTAAGAGGCGAAATTTATTTATCACGTTATAACGTAAACTTTATCACTTTATAATGTGAAATTTATCACATTAAACATGACATGCATCCTGATATAACGTGAAACAGATTTTCTTTTCTTCTTACGATGTCCCCCCCCCAAGTAGTGACTGGCAATACCGCACAGGGCTTGTGCCGGGTAAAAGTAGGCGTGGAAAATAAATTCTCGTTTCGAGGCGCGTCGTCACATGACCAGGGCAAAGTGACCTCTCTTTTTGGGGCTGGGCGTGTCAAGCGGAAAAGGTCACGTGATCAGGCACAACGAGCCTGGCATTGGCTGATGACGTACCACAAGGTGAAAAACGGTTTGAATCTCTCGCCAGAGCGTGGCGAGTTGATTTGATACGTAGTTTTGCAATTGTTCCTCCAGGTCAGCAGGGTGTCAGCTCTCGTGCGGTCTCCACGGCAACGCGCCGTCAGGCGAACAGCGCGAGCGTCTGGCGCGCTCGTCGCGCCTTTTCTGCCGACCCGAACACCGTGTCGACATCTGGAACCAGCGGCGGCGCTCGACTGGATACGAGGCCTAACGCCGCCAGGAAGGGGCGCGCTTGCGTCATCACCGCGCGACCTCACTTCTTCATTTGAGTTGAGAACACCTACACACACACAGCTGGTCGCTTGTCACTTACTGTACTACGACAATGCGTTATTTGACAGACACTGACATCTAACCATTTAGAGTTTATTTTATTGAATTGGTCAATTCAATGATAAAAAGACATGACACAATTCGAAATAACTATAATTGTATTAGTTGTATGCATAGATCGATAAAAATGTGCAAAATCTCATGAGAAAATAGTACATCATGAGGGAGGATCTGCTCTGTCTCAACCCTTCGTGAATCTCGGCAGGCACAGGCGGCGGCCAGCGTTGTGGGTGTTGTGTCCACGATGAGAGCCGGAGTCCGCGCTTGGAAATGACCCCACTGAGCCACGAGGACCAAAGCGGCAGTAGGAGGACATTTCCATGACAGCATTGTCCGTGCATGTGTCGCGAGTGGACAACATGGCAGACACGGTGCTGTCTGCCGCACTTCCTGCTCTATCTACTTGTGTATTGCCCAAATGTATTTTGTGCTGTCATAATGCCACCCGGCGCGTCATCTTTCACATCAAAAGTGAAATCTCACTCGCAAGATTTATTTCATGGGATTGGCTGGAAATGACGAGGATGAATCGATACATTCCATTCAGTGAAGCAGCGCGCACGCGTGTGTATCATTGTGCAGTCTAGTAAGTACAATGTTTATACAAGTTATCTTGTGACGTGTTTAATGACGTGGCACGCAACTATACGTTTTAAAAATCGGTTTTAGTTATTAAATGGGCATGAAAAATGTTATGAAATTACTCAGACAAGATATTCTTTTTACTGCTACAATGCAGACGCAAAGTATCCAATTAATCAACGAATCTATGAAATTAATTGACCGCTATTTTTATCACCGATTCATCATTCAGAGACCTTTTTTCACTTTGATTTCTGTAGTTGTCCATGAAAGCGGATTGATTGTGTTTGTGTACAAAAAAAAAAACCTTTTGCAAACATCTGCTTTTACTTTGGAAAACAATAATCGACATTTTCAGGGTTAGGGGGTTAGGGTTTAGGGTTATGGGGGGGTTAGGGGTTTGGGTTAAGGAGGTTAGGGTTAAGAGGTTCGGGGGTTAGGGCTTGGGTTAGGGTTGGTGTTAGGGGCAGGGTCAGGGGGTTAAGGTTGGGGTAAGGGTTTGCATGTATTGACCCCCCCCCCCCAAAAAAAAAAAGATATAACAATCAGGTCAATGTTGAGGTTGCTTGCAATGCTATGTACAATCCAGCAGGTGTCCGTATTGGGCAACAATTTCCATGACACGTGACCACTTTCATGTTGTACTTCTTGGACCGAACCATCGATTCGACTTACCTGACGACAGAAGGCAACTGTCGCGTCGGCGGTTGCATGTGTGTCTTTTGAACACCACCGTTCGATCCTTTGACGTGAAATCGAGAGCTTTCCACTACTCTCGTCATCTTTTCTGACAAACCGGAGAAAAAAATAATTGGACGAACCTGCCCCCTCCTGGCGCAGCTGCGAGCCACAGCAACTGATTGGCCGCGCCTCCCCTCCGACTGCCTCGTTTGGCCTCGCAGCGACGACCATGAACAATTCCTTTCGAGGCATAAAATGGGACCAGAAAGATGATTTTCCCAAAGATCATTTGAATCATTCATCTGTCACGTCATACACTTTGAATAAATATGGAAAAAAAACACCCATTTCGTTTTGTGTTTCTTTTTTAACACTGCAAACGCACACGTGGATCAAATACTGCCCCAATTGGAACGGCCACTTCGAATAACATGAATATCCATCCATTTTCTAATCCGTTTATCCTCACGAGGATTACGGGCATGCTGGAGCCTATCCCAGCAGTTTTTGGGTACAACCTGAATTGGTTGAGAACCAGTCGCGATCACAGTCACACCTGGGGTCAGTTTGGAGTGCCCAATTAACCTGCCATGCACATTTTTGGAATGTGGGAGGAAACCGGAGCACCCGGAAAAAAACCCACGCAGGCGCGGGGAGAACATGCAAACCCCACACAGGAAGGCCGGAGCCAGAATTGAACCCACGACCTCCGCTATGTGAGGCGGACGGGCTAACCAGTTTCCCCCACCGTGCCATCCATTACAGTATATGAATAGTCAAACGAATATGAATCAAAGAGGAAGTAAAATATATTTGAAGTCCTGGTCCATTCATCTTTATTCTAGAAGCTTTATTGGTGGATAATGTTTACATCTCACAACGCATTCCACAAACTTTTTCTGGTCACAATTTGAAGTATGAACAAGTTGATCACATAATTTCAAACAAATGCTGCAAGTTTATAAAGAGTTGAGCTCCATATATAATATGCCTTTTTTATGCCTTGGTTGTTGTTTTTTTTTCTTTTCTTACTGAATTGAAAGGATTTCATGTCGTAAACGTGTTCCTTCCAACACGACACAACAGCCATGACACCAAAACAACGAGACTGCCAAATGTTTTCTAGAAAGAGGATCCTAGCGAGTTACTCACAAGCTGTGAAGATGATGACGACAATGATGAAAATGATGCTGTTGGCAAATGCTCAAAGCCCCGTCCACCCCACCTATCATCCTTTGCGCGCAAAACGGACATCTTCCACCCATGAGGAGAAAGAAGCCAGCTGGAGGGGCGGGGTCAAACAAACCAAAAACAAAACACCGGCCTGTCTCACTAACGTGCTCTCACGTACAGTTTCCTACAACATTTTTTCCCATATAAATTAACAAGTGTCAATCGGCAGCCACAAAAAACAACGACCTAGGGAGCGTGTGACCTCCCCCAGGGAAGCAGGATGGGGGGGGGGGCAGTACACACAGCAAGCAAACTTTCTTCTTTGTCTTCTTCCAAAAAAGCCAAATTTCACAAGTGGAGAAAAAAGAGAAGTGTTTTCATGATTTGACAAATAAACTTGGAAGGGAGACGCCTACTCCCTTACATTCCCCCCCTGGCTAACGTGGACATCAAGCCCCCTTTCCCATCCTGAGCGTCCAGCCAGCCTCCGTTCCGCACTTTGTCGCATCTCGTTCTCGTCACTCAGCTTTACGTTTCATCCCAGGAACTTTGGCCTGGATCCTGGAAGACAATCAATCAATCAGTAAATAAATAAGACAAAAACTCAAATTGGTGTTCCTCAAGGCTCCATTCTGGGGCCTTCCTCTGTCACGTCTCGATAACATTGGAAACTTTTTCATCTATTTTAACAAATATTTATATCATATGTATAAACAAATTATTTCGCTTTCATAACAATTTTTTTTTTGGTTGCTTTAATGTCAATATTTCAAATTATCGTTTCGCAGACTTTTTGGTAAGGTGAACTTGAGTTGACTTACTTTCCAACGATGTCTTTTATTTGGTTGTTGACCAGCGCCAGGTAGCGATCAATTTGAGCCTGCAACATAATAAAAAGCAAAAAAAAAAAAAAAAAATCAAATAAGAACAGGAGGCAGAAGGGCAAAACGGAAGATGTTCAAAATACGACGAACCTGGTGCTTCTCGTAGATGATGGGACAGCTGAAGGCTCCGATCACGGCTAAAGGGAAGGAAGACACAAAATGGTCACATTGGACATGGCAATCGGTGTAAAAGTTGCGTGTGGGCACTGAACGGGAATGCGCCGCAGGTTGGAAAGCCTCTCACTCACCCAGAATGACCAGCGTGAGTCCGTTGAACAAGGCGCCCACATAGGTCAGTACCCACATCAGCACGGCAAACTGCAAAAGGGCAGCAATAGCGTGAGTTTCTTGAAGGCGGGTCAAGAGGTCCGAGAGCGAGAACAAGTCGCACCTTGATGGAGTCCACCAGGTCCTCGACCAGGAAGAGACGGCGGAGCTCGCTGACGGTCTTGTTGATTTTCTCCAGGAGGACGTCGCTGTACTTGTGCACCATGTCCTCCGACAGCGTCACCTCACGCTCCAGGTACTGCCTGCCAGATGCGCGGCAAGCTGTTAGCGGATCGCTCCCTCAACATTGCTATGAAGGCGTGAGCACTGCGTGTACAACTTGAGGCGAGCCTAGCAAAGCTAACGGGGCGAACAATTTGAAATTTTGGAACAGATTTGGGCAAGCATCATGGGAGTTGATACCTTTGATTTGCTTTCGCGGGCCACATACAAGGATGTGGCAAGCCCTCGGGCCTTGCGTTTGACACCAATGGGCGAAGGAGTACGCCAGGCGGCTACGCTAATGTTAGCCAACAAGTGGGGCAAAGCAGAATTTCGTCTTCTCATTATTTCTGTCCGCCTCCTTAGACTCAGTCTCGGCTGTTCATCTTTTGGAAAAATACATTCACCGTTGACGGAGGCAAATTTCAAAGAATAACGACGGGAAAGAAAAACAAGCTTGCGCAAGCATTTTAAGTCACTTTCAACCGGCTTCAGCATAATCCCTCAAATCCAAAACAAAATCCAGCATTTAGTCATCTCCGTTTTTTTCCAATACGCAGAAAAAAGCCCGTTTGATGAAAAACAAAGATGTCGATCGATGCTAACGTGGGTCTGAAAAATGGAAGAAAATGTGTTAATTGGGGGGGACGAACGAGTAGCATTTGAACGGCGGACATCCGTTGAACGGTTGGGGTAAATCGCGTTGCCAGCTTGGCAACGGAACATATTTGCCTGATGAGCGGAGGCGGCGGGCAAGACTCACTTGAAGGGGTGTCCCTCATCGGACTTCTGGATGGCCTGCAGGACGCCCTTGTAGATGCGGAAGCAGACGGTGACGGAGAGCAGCGCCAGGCCAATGTAGGAGCAGACGCTGACGATGCTGCACGCTGTCAGTGACAGCAGCAACAGCAGCACCGCGCCGAACACCACGCCCGTCGTCTTCACATCGCGCCAGTACAACAGATCCACCACTGAGGGAGGGCGCCAACAAAAACATTGACAGCATTAATTGGAGACTAATTCATGTCACCGTTGCTTCTATATCCAATTCTTCTTTTCGATTCGATAACAAAAAAATGAATTTAAAAAAATCATTTTCATGCCTCGATTCCAAAACAGGACGCGATTTGGAATGGTCAGTGAAGAAAACGCACAAAAATCAACAGATTGGGATGAACGTCCTGGTTTGGTGGACCAACAACAAATGAGTGTGGGCAGGAGCAGAAGTTAGTTGTAATCACATTTTGTTCTTTCTTTTTATTTATTTATTTTTTGCATGCAACCACGTGAGACGACGCCTTTCCTCGAACGGGGTCGATTAGCTCCGGTTTAGCGGCCGAGCGTCTGCGGAGGAGCTCATGGTACAAAACAGTAAGAGGCAAAGAGAAAGTGGGCGCGGGGTAGCGCCAATGCATCAGCGCGCCTCGGGGGCTTGGGCTAACCAAGAGCATGGGATGGATGACGGGAAGGTCAGATGACGTCTTACGCTTTCTTCGCGGCTATAAACTGAGATGACTCAGCACCTTTTTTTTCCCCCTTCATCAACCCAAGGGCCAAAGCAGACTCAAAACTTGTCCGCTTGCTTTTCTCTATCCAATGGCGCGACAAGTCTGCCACGACATCAAAATCCCTGATTTGGAAGAGGGGAGTGAGGAAGCATTCCAAACGCATTCTTGACTGCCTAATCCCAAGGCAGCTGTGATTTGAGATACGACTAACCCAAACTGTGGCGTGCTGTGTTTCGTGAACGTGAAGCCCAGAAGAGTCGCCCTTTGCATCAATCAATAGCCAAGTAGGCCTCAGTTTCAAAAACATTGGTAAGTACATCAGCCCCTCTCGGGCGGCATTGCAAAAATGTTGACAAATTAAATACCAAATAAACTAAAAATTAAGTGGAAAATGATTTTGCAATAAATTTGAATACAAGTAATCAATGGAACAATCAATGTAATTTATCTATTATAAAAATAATGCATAGTGACAGGCCTAAACTGTTGTATATTTCAAAGAGGAAAACTGGCACTCCATATTGCTGTACTTTATGGAAATTAATGCAGTTGTTAACTTTTACATATATTACTTTTATCAGATTGGCTGATTGGTTCGGTTTTCAGTCTACATGTGTTGCTGCACCCTTTGTGTTCAATCTGTTGCCAGACAGTTTATGGCGCCACAACACGGATGCGATTTAGACATAGCATGAGGTAGACAAGTGTGATGTGCTTTCCAAGACACAAAGTGCAGCTCTCTGTTTTCTGCTGAGTGTGAGTAAACTTCCAAGTGAGTGGCAAAAAAACAGTTTGACACATTTTTTGTGTGTGTGAACAATTTTTGACTTGACAATTTGCCAAAGTGCTGCTCCTTGTGAAGCGAGTCATCGTGCAGTGCTCGTCTCTCAAGTCTGTGATTGCAAGCCAAGACAAACAGTAAAATAAAATTTGGCAGATGTTAATAACCCCAAATGAGACAAATGCCCTTGTTGCGGCGTGATTGTAGCTATGATTGTATTCAGTTTGTGAACTACACGATGTTGTGATTAATATTTGTATGACATCGTCTCAAAATCCGACGACGGCGACATGAAGAAGAACAAAAGAGGCGGTACCGCGGTCCAACTGCAGCCGCTTGGCTACATATGGTCTCAGGCGGGCGAGCATCGCCGGAGATCGGGCTAAAAATAGAGCCCGCATGACCGAGTTCAGCAGCGGCCGCTGATCCAGTTTGTGCGCCGCCGTTCGCTTCGTCACCATCCGACCCGAGTGGCAAGCATCGCATCGCGAACCCCAAGCAGGCGTGTGAACGCCATCCCCAGGCGGCGGACTGGGCGCTCTGCGGCAGTACAAAACGCCGAGCCGACTCGTCCCGCATGACCTCCGCAGGGGGGCCCCGCTCGGCGCTCTGACTGACGCGGACGACCGCTTCCCTCGCCCCCACCGCCAGCAAGGTTGCTCGTCATCCGCACGTCCGCCCCGGCAATACAAAGCAAAGCGGCCGCGACGCGCGTCCACAAACACGCGAGCGAAAGAATGAATCAAACGCGACGATTGGACTGACCCTGCTTGGCGTCCATGTTGAACGTCCGCGGAAACACGCAGCTGCCGCTCGGAAGCTCCGCCCACTGACGACGCCACGCATGCGCGGTTCCACGCGTCTCGCCGGGGAGATGCGCGCGACCGTCGAAAGCGAGAACGGCGCGCGAACATGCGCAGTGGTGTCGAAAGCTTCGAGAAAAATCCCAAGCCAAACTTCAGTGCTCATGCGCCACGTTGTTGATCAAGTTTAAAGTGTAAACGGGTTTGTGTAAAAAAAAAAAAAAAAAAAACCTCACTCTAAGTACATTATTCCAATGCCATGTAAAATAGCACATTTTAATACAATAATGCATTTACATTTAATTATACCTGATTATTTAAAAATGTTCGAAATAGTGTGCATGTAAAATTGAATATTTGAGGCATTCTCAATTTAAGTGAATTCACAAATTGTAATTAAATGTTAAAAAAGGCACACATGTAAAAAATAGTTAACCCTCATAAAATTACACTGGACCAATTATAATAAAGTTGTTAAATGTACAGGGTTTTTTGAAAAACAAAAAAATAAATATTCATTCTACAAACTTTGACTGTTTTTAGGTGTTATTTTCGGATTTTGGGCGTACGTACACTTTTAGTTTGAATCGTACGCACGCTTTGATCGGCGAGACCTCAGCCCTGTTGAGTGAAATGGAAATCAGCACACGTTAAGACTTGGCTGGCTGTGAACGGGCTAAACCATGAGTCACGCTGCGTCTTGAGTTATGGAGTTTGCATTGACTGTATTTTGCTAGCGTTTGGTCAATAAAGTGATTGAAAGTACACCGGCGGCTGTCTCCATCTTTCCTCGCTCGCTGTGGAAGGCCTACAATTCATTCTCGGCACCAAATGGCACATTGGACTTGAGCTTCTTTTGTGAAGTTTGAAACGATTCCAAACTTGCGAAACAGATACAAATAGGCTAAAATTTGGCGAGGCCGTGAAGCCGCAAAAAGCGAGCTGCAAAATAGCGAGGGACGCCTGTAAAACCAACGGGCCTACTGGAAGAAACTAAATAACCGCACGACCGTGTAAAATCCACTTTGGCGCTGAATGCAGATCACTTGACAGGAAGCCAACGTGCGGTGAGCACATCCCATCATATGACCTTCATCAAGACCTCCTCCGCCAACCACCAGCCTTCTGCTTCATCAGCTTCCAATGATGAAATGCCATTGGAATTTCCCTCGGGGTGAGCAATACATTTGCCCAAAAGGAGGAAACCTTCATAAACTATGAGAAGTGATATTTGATGAGAACTGATGATGACGACGCAAAAGGAAATGAAATGTTCGGCTCAGAATTGCAGCGTCCAACTCAAAATACGATTTCATGCCAATAATATCAACAGACATGCATCATGCTTTCATTGGTCGTTTAGCTACATCGTGAAGAGCAGACCAAAATTCACAGCTAACTGTCGGAAATACACCGGAATGAAGTATTTGGACATCGTCCTGTGGTATCGATATTTGACGTTGGTGTGGCCACACTGCGTCGTTAAGAGAAAATAACGTTTTTAGTGTCCAGTCCCAGTCAAAGTAAATCAGGCGTCACTTGAATGATCCGCCCATCTTCCATCGCGCTCGTCTTCCTGAGGGTCCCGGCTGAGCTGGAGCAAGAGGCAAAGTACCCAAAGAAATGTGCACCAGATTTGTTCATTCGCGTATTTGTAGTCCCATGCGACCAGTCATTCGGAACGCTTCGACCTCCCCTTCTACCGCGCACCTTTGGACAGAGCGCAAGTGCGGACAAAGGTTCATGTCTCGATGTTGCAACGATAACGCACAACTCCCGGCTCACAAGCAGACAAAACGCGCACACAAAATAGCAGATGGGAAATCTTGCGCAACCAGAAGACGATCGTGACTCGAATGATCGATGAGAATGTTTGCGCTTTGGGTGAGAGTTCACGTTTGATTAAGTCAGAAGACCAAGTCGGTCAGAACCCTTTTCCTGAGCTCAGCGAAAAACAATTCATGTCTGGTCCAGTCCACGTTCAGTGAACATGGACTACGCATAGTAAAGAGAAGCCCAGAGAGAGATTCTTTTATATGCTCATTCCTTTTTGCCAAAATTTCAAATGGCTCACTGACAATCTGTTCGGATCATCCTCGAAGAGGAAAACCGGCCAGTTTCACGGGCTTCACAGAGCCATCCAAGGAGAAGAGACTCCAGTACCCTGAAGATATGTCATCATCGTCATGACAAGAAGCAAAGCGACGAAAAACGTCAGCCCGCATTGGTGGCTCAACTTGTCTTTAATCTTACCCAGCAGCGCTGCTGGATATTACGTAAGCCGCGTGTACCCAAGCAAAGTCTCAACATTTCATCTCTTGAAGAAGCATCGTGCCCCACCGGCCCAGTTTCACGCGCTCCACTGAGCTCCGAGGGGAGCACAGACAGCCGATAACGGTGCCCAACACAACATGTCATCTCATCATGTCAAGAAGGAAAGCGAGCAAGATGTCAGCGTACCCTGCTGCCTCCACGCAGCTTTGCTCGTGTCCACGCGTGAAGTCTCCATGCCGGACAATCACAGACGCACATTCCACATGGACGCCCGCTGCCGCTGCACTGGCAATGAGGAAGAGGGAGGGAGGAAGGAAAAGGGAGGGTGGTGGTGGGGGGGGGCGGGGATGGCGTGGTTCTAACACGGCAAAAGGGCCAATGAGCAGTCAGCTGACCGTCAGCCGCCGGCGCTCTGACGCAGCAACAAAAAGAGCCTCAGCGCTCACTTCAGTGATTTGGCAATAAAAGTCAGGCTTCCGGACCTGCGCAGGTACAAGGCGGACCATACACTTTGAAATGTCGTCATTTTACGACATTCGTACTTATTAAACGCCATTTGAAATGTATTTGTCAACATTCCTTCGCCCAACACTGCGACAAACATGAACTTTTTTTTTTTTTTTTTAACTAATAGGTGTATATCAAGCCAGGCCTGGAATTCCAAAATAGGGCTTTAAGAGAAGGGTGAGTTAAGTTTTCAAAGTCAGGGTTAAGGTTTCAAAGTTTGGTTTCGAGCCGGGGTTCATGTTTCAAGTGGCCGTTTCATTTTGGCCGACTTTTTAACTCCTTCTAAAATCCAAGACGTCACCGTTGTGTTTGTGAGCGACGGGGCTCCGGCCTTTCAATCTTCTCCCATGTTAAACAAGGACGCTTGAAAAGTCGGAAGTGGACCAGAGGTGTGGATGTGCATGTGCCCCGCCCTCGACTCGCCAGCGGTCCGGGGGTGTACCCTGCGCCTCTCCACCAATTTCAGTTTGGGTCGCCTCCAGCTCACTCTTAAGCGACCCCACCGCGTGAGGTGGAACTCTCCAGAGAAGCACTGAGTGGATTGATGGTTTGTAAAAGATCACAATGTGCCAGTGCCCAGTCTTTGGTCTGACTACCCTCTTGCCAAATCGGTGCTTTCGGGGCATTTCTCACAAGCGCAGAAGCATTTCTGCTTCAGTAGCAGTAGCAGGGTAGCTCCACTTGAGGGCAGCCGTCTCCTCCAAAAGTTAACCTCACCCAAGCAGGACTGGAACGGTGCAAGCCGTCAGTAGAAAAAGCTTGTGGTTGAACTCCAGGACGAGTCCATGAACCGCCTGACTCCACATCGTACCTCAGGCTTTGGTTGGAATGATGTCATCTTTTTATGACGATTCCATGGCAGTGTTAGCGGCAGTTCCCAAATACAATGTCACTTGCATGTCGACAGCGTTGGTTGCGCAAAGGTGCAAAGTCTGTCTCAGCGCAGCCAGTGACATTTCACCTTCATCTTGGCCGCTTTATAAGGCGGACTCAGGCAGAAATTGCAAGTATGCGCCTTATCTAGCCTACGAATCGACACTTGAACGTCACCCGTGCAGATTTACAATGACAAACGGGACCCGATGACCTGTTCCAAGTTGTAAAATGTCAAGTCACTCCCACGTTCATACGAGTCAGCTGGACGACAAAATCTTTGCTGACAGTTCTCTTTCAACAGACACCTTGGCGGATCTGCCAGTGTCGCAATGCAGGGAGGAGGCTTGAATTAGCAGGGGATCTCGCTCTCACACACACAGAATTCACCCGCTAGAAAATGTCAGTCAAGACTCAGCTGAGCCGTCTTGTGTCGGGTGAGTCAGGTCTTTTGTGTTATGCTTGCTTGCGGCGGCAAGACGAGCGAAAAAGATAAAACACGTCTTCAGCCCTGTGCGAGCTTGTCGGCGCACCAGAAGCATACGCAAGTTGTGGAAAGGAAAGGAAGCAAGACATTTGCGGGACTTCTCTTCGCAGGACATGGACCTGCATCCTATTTTCGACAATTATCTTTAAATCCGAAGCAAATGTGCAATAATGAGCTTCCACGAAATATCGAGATGAAGCGTGGGATATTTGAACAATGAAATGTCGGCACTGGTTTGGTTATTTTGCAAAATGGCATGGGTGGTAAAGTGCTTTTTGATCCAGTTGGGAGGAGGGCGGGCGGGGCTCCTATCTATGTGACATGTCTGTGGGTGAGTGAGTGTTGCCTCCTCAGATTAGCATTGTGGCTTATTCGCTCCGTTAGCTTGTGCATTTGCGGACTGGTTTAGTTTGTTTAGCTGAAGCACAAAAACAAACAAACAAACAAAAAGCATTGGACTTACCAGGGTTAATAAAATGAATGGGTTAAATGAACAAAGAAATTGCCAAAAAGCACGGATGGTAGAAAGTGGAGGTGGCATCGAGGAGCTCACGAGGCTTCTGGTCGGTTGGGAGAAAAAACAACGGCGACAAACAAAAGGGTGATGGTCATTCTATGGATTAAGATGGAGAAGGCAATGAAAACGGAATGTGGAGGGATGGGGCGGCTGGGGGGTGCCATGACCAAAGTGAATTTGTTTACCTGCCGAAATGTTCACGCGTGGCATGTTGAACGGTTTGCCGCTCTCCGCGCTCTCCTGCGCCACCGCCTCTTCAGGCTTAAGGACAGCGGCATTTGGGCGCGCCGTTTGGGATGCTGGCTCCCGAACAGAGAATTTATCTGGATCGGGATCAGCCTTGCTCTTCTGGGAGGAGGACTGGGTTAGGAGCAGGTAAGAGCTCTGACTTGGAACTTCCGCGGCTATCTCGGGAAGAACCGGAGCGGACGCGGAAATCTGCTCAAAGCTGCGCACCTCATCCACGGGGATCTCCGGGACCTTGGGGGCTGCAAACTTGGAAGTATCGAGAGCCTCGAGAAACTCATCGATGACTCCCTTCGGTGGTCTCTCAATGAACTCAAATTCCTCGGAGGAGACCTCATGCTCAGAGACCTCGTCGGCCACCTCGGGCTCCTCCAGCTCCACCTTGGTATTCTTCTTCTCCACCTGGAAACTGGCAGGGTTCTTGGTTATGACCTCCAGGACCGGAGACAGAGAGTCTGCAGTCGGTGACTCCGAATCGGAATCCTCGGCGGGGGCTTTCTCACTTTCAAATTCAACGGGCTCAAACTTTCCCGTCACCTTGGGAGGAAGGTGACTTGAGAACCAATCTTTCTGCTCGACCTGCTTGACAGGTTCCTCGACTTTCACCTGCGCTGGGGTGGTTTCCTCAGCCTCTTTGACCAGGTCAAACGCACCGAAGCGTTTCACTTCTTCATCTTTTGCTTTGTCAGACACTTTCACTTCCATCTCATCCGCCATCTCCTGAAGCAGAGACATTTTAGCATCCAGAGCAAAGGGGTTGTTGGCTGACAGGTTGATCGGGGGGTTGGGCGACTCCATCATCCTGCGTTCCAGAATGGGGCTCTGCTCGTCCGGACTTCCCTCCGAGGAGCCAGAGTCCAATTTGTCAGGGTTGAGCGGGGAAGACTTCAGGATGTCTGGAAGCGATGGTGGCAGCGTCGTATCCTCTTCCTCCTCCTCTTCATCTTCCTCCTCGAGGTCAGATGAGAAGTGACCGACTGGCTGCCTGAGGGAATCGATGGCTTTCATGCCCGACTCGAACGTTTTCCCCTCATCTAAGAATGATGGCGGACTATCCTGGAGTTCTTCAGATTGTCGGGACTGGACAAGATCCGGAGTGGGACTGTCTGACACCTTGACGGCTCTGGGGTCAGACTTGGACTCGCCAAAGTTGTAGGAACCGCTGTCCGCCAGCGGGGAAAAGCCATCAAATGGGTTATTATTCTTCTTTGCCTCGTACATCAAGTCGTCATCTTCATCCGAAGGGTTGCTGAGCAGCTCCGACTCGTACCCGGGAGAGCCAATGGCGGCCGCTTCCTTGGAAAAGGAATCCATCGAGACCTTGGCGTTGTCTTGCGATCCGAGAAGCGGTGAATCCCAGTGCTCTGTTGGGTTAGAGGAGGCAATGTCAGACTTGACAACCATCTGAGGGGTGACGGGGGAGACTTCTGAACTCGGATGCTTCTCCTCAGGTGAGAAGGACACTCCGCTGTCTTCACATAGAACGTGAGGCCCCGGGTCTTTCCCTAAGCTCAGGTAAGGACCGGTTAACTGATGTAGTTCACCCTTATCCTGACTGAGGCCCGGTCTGGAATGTTCTTCGTCATCCTCCCAGGACATTTCCTTGGACCGGACGGCAGGGGCCCGAGTGCAAAAGGAGCCTTGGGATACGGCGGATCCCGGAGGATAGGGCTGGTTGGGGCTCTCTGTCAAAGAGAGCTCTTCCAGGGAATCGGGGGAGTGGAGGGGAGAGAGAGGGGAGATGGGAGCAGGGGAACCACCCTTCTTCCCCAGGTCTTGAAGAGAAAGGGGAGGAGGGAGAATGCAATACAGCACATATCAAAAGACAAACTCCATTCCGTACAGTGCCCACCAAACCTGGGTAGAACGCGTACCCGAAGCCTTTCGGAGCTCAACACCAGACAAGTGCTGCTGAAAGGTGAACTGTGGTTGGTGGACATGCTCCTGGCCAGGGGGGCAGCCACTCGCCATCATGCCAAAACATGTTTTTTAGCTGGGACGACTACAACATTGAGTCAATATTGAACCCGAGTGGTGAAGCAAACCAAATGAGATTCGTGAGAACTCCTGCAGTGGTCGGCAGGAGTGTTTTTGGTATTCTAACCTTGAGCTCTTGCAAGGTTATGGGGGACAGCGACGACCCGCCGCGGACAAGACTTTGCAGCATTTGTCTGGTGTCCATCTACACATACGTGCTCTGTAACAGGAAGGCCATCCAATATCCGTCCCAGGTCTGGCACCAGTAATCCATGTAAGGCGTGGTCGACAAACTGTTGTATAATGATTCTTTTCAAAGCACAATACGTGACAACTGGCAGGTCAAACGTCTTACGACTTCAGACCATTGAAGAGAATCATTATGAGCTATAATCGACAGATTGTCATGCTTGCCTACAAATGCCAACGGTCACAACAACACACCACGAGGCAGTCCATTGAAGAGAATCATTATGAGCTATAATCGACAGTCAAGCTTGTCTACAAATGCCAACGGTCACAACAACACACCACAAGGCAGCGCATAAGTGCCACACAAGTCACACGTGCGTCATGCTGCAGGAGTTGAAGTCTACTTGTGGCATGCACTTCCGGTTCTTTTTTTGCCACTCGAGGCGAGTGACGGGAATACACAGCGGCGATGACACGACAGTGGAGACGAACACAAAGACGAGGAGGTGGTGGTGGGGGTCGAGCAGAGACAACTTGCCTGTAGGGAATTGCATCAGAGGCTGAGGTTTAGAAGGAGAAGAAGGAGCATCTGCAGAAGAAACGACAGAAAGCGGCAGAGAGCGAAATCAGTCAGCTTGTCATGACAGCAGAAGGGAACGAAGCATCCGTCTCCATCGCCACATCTTCAACAGTCAGACCACTTCCTGACTCATCAACCTCAAAAATGGGACGTCCCATTACAGCGATGAACACAAGAGGAAGACAGACGGATGAGCGATAAACCCCGGATGGCACCAAGTGTGTGCGCACTCAGCCAATGTTTTCTGTTCGTTCAATACTGCAAAGAAATTTTGAACATGTTTAAAATTTGTTGGCGACAAGAAAAATTGTCTGAGACCATTGAAATGGTTGACTGACGTCTTTGCAACCTTGACCGAACCCTGGCGACAAAAACAACCTTCGCCACGTGCACCTTGCAAACCATCGTTGCTCGGTGACACATTACGGACCAACCCACTCTACGAGTCATCATCAATTTGTGGGAAATATAATTGTTTCCTCTGTGACAAAAACAATCGTGATTTGCAGTCGTAGTAGGAATTACCAGGAAGTGACATCTTATCGGACGTGAAGGCCAGAGGTGAAGCCTCCGCATTCATCGGTAGCAAACAAGTAGCTCTGAGTTTAAAGAAAAAGTAGATCCCTCCTGCTTCCTTGTTTGGTTTTGTTTCAGCATTCAATTACACAACAGCAAATGAGCAACAACTGGTTAAATATATGTATATATTGAAAATATATACTTTTGTTTCCTATTATTCGATGAAAACAGTGGAATAATCGATACAATAACCGATGACGAAAATATTGACGAGTGACAGCCCTAATGAAATAAAGCGGCTTCTGTGGGACGGATTTTGTCTTAAAGTACTCGAGAAATACGCTTGTGTTGGGTAGAAACAAAAAGACTTTGTCCGCCAAGCGCTTTATCCATCAGCTCGGCGCCAACTTTGTCAACTCCCGCAGGACTCTGGAAAATAAAAGCAGGAAGTGGAAATGCCGAGCGAGGAAAGAACGACGTCAAACAGGGCGGGGGCACCTTTCATCAGGACATTTCGAGTCACCAATCAAATAATCAACTTGGCCACAGGTGATCTTCATCAAATCAAGTGCAATGATCAAAATGAATCATGCGTCCGATTGGTCGTCAATCACAGACGATGAATCTGGCGGAACGTTTGGTTGGTTACCTCTGGGGCCCACGTTTAGATTCCAGCCCTGGACACAGCCTAGGAATGAACCAAGAACGACAACCTTTAGCTTCTTACTAGCGCAACAATGCTAACACTCCCCAAATCTTCATTCAACAATAACCCTGAAAGCTCTATTTGAGTGCAAAAAAGGTGAAGTCATACAGTCGTACCTTCACATCAAGAGACTCCATTCCACTCAGAGGATCATCTGTGACCGAGCGACATTGTGTCCGTTATTCCAAATCCTAATTTCTTCTCAACGAACCTAACTTTTACTTTGAATAAGATTAATAAAATACAACTGGGTCACCCAAAAAAAAAAAAAAAAAAAAACCCCCACAAAAAAAAAAAAGGCCCCTTCTTTCATGTACACATTTAAGAACATCTTCATTATTGTGTTTGTAGTTGCTCCTGTAGCGCTAACTAAGATAAGTACAAGATTTGAAAGAGCCGTTCAGTTGGACGCCGCGCTCTCGCAAAGACAACCTCTCAGCATTAGTGTGTTATATGCTGTATCTTGGAATAAATTACCATCAGGTTTTATTTCGGGAGCTCACGTCCAAAAATCAAGTTCATTGCTCGAGTGACAACAGTGAGCACCATTTTCCGTGTTTTTCCATTTTAATTATAGCCAGCAGCTAACATCAAAGCCATGCTCCACAATCCCAAAATGTGAAGAGAATATCACAGAAGGACTGAATGCAGAAATGAGGTAAAATTCAATTTGCTGAAAAGTATTTTTCAGTGTGTTTAATAATTTTCACCTGAACTACTTCATGAACTTTTCTGCCATATATAAAGATAAAGACGAACGAGAGAGAAAGAAAGAGAGAGAGAGAGATCTATATTTTTGGGGATAGACGTCACCCTTTCCAGCATTACCTCCAATGACTCAGCAATTATGAGTAAGCATGACGCGGGCCGTGGCAGTGCCCAAAAAATTGGACCCGGGGGACAGATGGTCTGCTCACATTTGGTGGTCCGCCTGCCTGTCTGTCTGTCTGTCAGCTGCCGCGTGGCGGCACGTTAACCAAAACAGGCCAGCGCTCGCATCGGCACTCCTCTGTGACCAGGACACCAAGACAACAAACAGTCCAGTAATCCATCTGACCCGACGCCTCAGTGACACACTCCGATGGATGTCGCTGAGCCGAGACAAGCATGTAGGTCAATCGGACCTCCGGTCATTCTCACGAGAGGCGACGCAACAGTCACAGCAGGAGTCCTCAGCTCCAGACTCCAGAGCGTTAAGGAGCTTTGAGGAAGCCAAACATTTTGAAAGATGAGCTTCCATCCGGGCCAACCAAAGCATCAGGAAGTCAAGATGATTTTGGTTGAAACACTTGAACAGAAGGTTTTGCAGATTTGAAAGCATTTTTACTTCCATTTCTTTCCGGCAGTGCCGACTGCCTGCTTCTATGCTGGCAACAAGTACACGAACACAAATTGCTGGAACACGGATCAAGGTACTGCCCGACCTAGAAGGGGCGGGGATGATACCTCGGAAAGTCCCACAACAGAAACGAGGCTATGTTACAGTCGGCATTCAATCTGATACGGCGCCGATACTCCTGCAAAGAAGTGTCATTGGAGCCCCTATCCAGAGTTCATGAGTCATGTACACTGGGCAACGTGGAAGGAACGAGGGTCATCTTCGACTGAACCAAAAAGACAAGAAAAGATTTTGTAGATTTCATCATCAAGAGTTAACTATAAATTTGGGTGGGGGAAGGGGTTCTTTAATTCAGTGGAAAATTGGAACTGGGGCTCACAATGCCATATCGCAACGGCTGTAATATTAACTCGGAAACTGTGAACGTGTTAGGCTTCCTTTGTCCCCTCGACGCAGCATCAGTACCTTTCATGCAGGCCGGCGATGCAAAGATTTAAACCAACAGTGCCTTAGAAAAGCAAATGACTTGAAGCTAGGCTTGCTAAGCTAAGCCTAGTTGCGTCTTTGTTCCGTTTGTGGTTTGGTCCATTAGGCGGCCCCGCCCTGACTCCCTGCCTGGCTCTCCCCCTCTCTGGCTCGCTCTGCAGGCAGGCTTCTTGCATGCCTGCAGGCCTGTTTGCCTGCAATCTGCCTCATCTCCATGTACAAAGCCAACTCGCATGAACAGATTCATTCTTTCGTTCATTTTGCCCCAGGATGTTCACCCTAATCGCAACGGGGCCTCTCTGCTAACTAGCAGTGTCCAGGGCGCTGGTTAAAGGCGGTGAGCTGTGAATAGAACAGATTAGCAATTCAAACACAGCTTGGTTGTAGCCACAAGGAATGAGGGTAGGATGATGCTGGAATCGGGGAGGAGATGCCGGGAGAAAAAAAAAAATGCGTGGCCACGTTTTGCGGATTCCTTTGTTGTGACTAATCGGAACTTAGCCGGTCTCCCATTATCGGACAGACCCGCGGCGCCTGGGCAGCCGAATTCGACATGGTATGCTGACTTGAAAGAACTAAAATCCTTCAAAGCCCGTCCAAAGGACCAACGTACGACACGGCAGCTAGCAGAGGTGTGAAGAAACAACAACGAGCTCCCGTTTTAGTGGGCGAACGTCAACAAGCTCCTTGGGAGTGACCACCAAGCGTGAGTGCGGCAACTCATCCGAGGTGGATTGGCCATTTTTTTCACGTTTAAACATGAGCAAGGTGGTTATTTCCCCGCCACCTAAGTGCGTTCACTTTGACTATCGCTGCCGATTTGCTACGAGTCCCAGAAGAGGAGCGATTCGGTTTGTCCGATAAAGGAACCAAGACGGCAGATCGCAACGGGCGGAGGCAGGGAGCAGATGCACGCTGCTCATCAGATCAAAAGACCCCACAAACATCGGACAGAAACGTAGTCCTACCTGCTTACGCGAATCAGAAAGGCTGAGAGAGGGTGGGGATCGGCGCTTTTCGGCGTCAAACTAGACGATGATGCAGCACATCATCCTGTGACGTTTGCGTCCAAACAGGTGGGCCGCGTCACACCCCATCAGACGTTTCCGCCAACACAACGCTAAATGGGTCTCTTTCCTTCAATTTAGCTTCTTTTGAAAAGGCCCCCTTCACCTTTTAAGTTTGCTTGGTGTCATTGGCGTTCGACAAATGTGGCTGTCTTGCCATTGTCGCCGTCAAGCAGGCGCGGAGAGCCGCCAATTAGCCGCTAGCTAACCGGCTGTCTGGAAAAGCAGCCAGTTCGCTGATCGTCAGCACAAAATGAGCCTCCGCGAAGGAATCGCGTTTGCGAAAATTTGATTTTTCTCCCGACCAAAGGCCACCTAAACGCGGCGGGGCCACGGCGGTAGCCTACGGGTTATGCGAGGCGCGCTAGCCGCATCCAGACGTCCACAAGCGGGCGGCAATTGTTGTCCGAG